GACACTTTTTTCCCAGGTATTTATTATTCACAACCAACTGGTATGACATAAAAGTTTGTATGCACCACGGGTACTAATAGATATATATACCCTCGGGCGACTTACGAACCCTCGGGCCAGAGGCCCTCGGCTTTGTAAGACTGTCGCCCTCAGGGCATAATCATCTACTTATTACCCTTGATACATAAATAACTATTATATCCTACTGAACTATTACAACCATATAATACCTTGGTTACGATAATCATAAACAGGGTCTAAACTCCCTTGGGAGTTAAGGATATCAAAACTCCCAAGGGAGTTAAGGTTTAAAGTCAACCCCTATTTTCTGAACCTTGTGTTCAAAAATTTCAAAAAAAATATATGTTTTATGGTTATAGATATACTTTAATCCATAATTTTTTTAAGCAAATTTGACTCGCCATTTTTGAGTTATATCGCAAAAACTGGAAAAAAAGTAGTTTTTCACCATTTATTTCAAAACGAATAGATGAAGTTTCCCATTATTTTTATTATGAACTACTATTGCAATTCTACGCCACATATATTTTTTTCAAATTTTTTGAACTTGTAGTTTTCTCGCTACTGCAAAAATAGTTGGAAATACGCCCGTAGCTCCACTGTTTAGAAAAAAATCCGACGGATGAACGTTCAAAATTATTTGCGTTGGTCGAAACTATAACCCTGTTTATGTAAAACAGAATAATACTCCGAATTTCCTCCAAAAAAAGAAAAAACGTTCCATCACACAATTTAACCAAATGAAGATTTCTATTTTTTTTGACAGTCAAGTTAGGGCACACTATAGAGACGACAGCATTGACATCTCGCGTTGCTGGTTATAAACTATAGGCCTGACTTTAAACCTTAAGGATTTCTATAACTCCCGCTTTTACCTTGAATAGGTAAAACTTTCAGAAAAAATAGAAATTTTGACAAAAAAGCTTTATTGAAAACTGCAATTCATCTTTTATTCTAAAAATCTATCAACATCATTTTTATCATTACAAATAATAAATTTACAATTATCAAAATTGCCCTGGAAACTATTTCCATTGCTGCAATTTAATTTTTTTTCTGTATGGCTGTTGCTGTTACACATTTGAATTGATGTGCCTGCCTCTTCTGATCGTAAGGTAGAGAGCATCCGTGCCGTTTGATTTTTTAGCTCGATACTATCAGCTAAATATCCTTCCGCCACTGTGGAACTTTTCCAGCCTCCGTGCCTTTTTAGGTTTGTCATAGTTGCACCCACTGGCGCCGACTACATGGGGGCATCGGGGCAGGTGCACCCATGAGCAACCTTTGTATAAGAATTATGCAAGTGGTGTGTGTGTGGTATTCTGTCCATCTGTCCTTCCGTTATTTGTGGTCAGTTCTATGCTCTATTACTTTATATTGCTATTGTCCATCAGACCATCTCTATTTTTTGAAAGTAATCGGGACAGTCCGCTCCACAACGGGAATTCTTGCGCCGTATGCCATATAGCTTAGTTTTGCGTGTGAGTAGAGATGGCAATGATATATCGATGTTTTGTAGAAATCAAAATATTATTCAAAAATATCGATATATCGAAAAAAATATCGATACAATCTTTTCCATGTATCGGAAGTTTTATAATAGGTCTGTTTCTGCAGAAATCACAAACCAGTCAGAGCGAATTTTATTGGTTGAAAACAGTCAGAAAACTAGTTTCAACCAATGAAATTCACTCTTACTGGTTTGTGATTTCTGCAGAAACTGACCTAATAATAGTTTATTGCTTGACAGTGATAGTCTGACAGTTGACAGAGGCGGCTTAAACGAAACAAAACGTCAGTTAGGGCGTGTGCGTAGCAATTGAATGAGGAAAAAAGATTTACCGCATGATTAAGGAACGTTATTTTTTTACGACCGTGCGGAGAAGTACTTTTCCGCACGCATTTCAAGACATTAAAGTACCAGGATGACTCAATATTGCATAATTATTATACTTTTCCGCACTAGTACCTACCTAAATGCGCGCAGAAAAAAGCACTTTTCGCACGCTCGTAGAAAAAAAATTTCACCTACGGCGAGCTTCCCTCTTCCCCTATAAACGAATTTATAAAGTTATTCTGCACCCATGAGGACTTTCAAAAGTCGGCGCCTCTTCTGGTTGCACCTGCATCTGCTAGCGCAGTGGCAGAGGTGCGACGAAGACAGTGTCCCGTAAAAGAAGACGGGTCTGGCAATTTTAAATATGATGCAATTTTACTGGGAATTCTCCCGAATGTATTTTTCCCGATTGGCTGGGAGGTGCATCTATTTTGGCGGTAGTTCAAAAAAAATCTTCCGATACCCTTAGGTCGTAATGACATGTAAAATTTCAATAAAGGCAGAGCAACGAACTCATCCTCATCAACAATCGTGAATTTTCTTGGTATACCCGTTATACTGTCTGGTATACTCACGACCATAACCTTGTCCCGGTCCTCTATATCACTTATCTTCATATTAAGAAGTTCCTGAGTTCTGCACCCTCCAAAATATCCCATTATTAAAACTATCTGCAAAACAGGTAATGAATACATACACAAAGAAATATAGAAATTAGGTTATTTACCTTATTTAATAAATGCATGTCGTTGGGGGCTTCTTTGAGGAACTTGGCGATATGCTGAGGGCAGTGGCGGTTCGTCCATATGGGCAAGGTGGGCACCGCCACCCTGGAGAAAAAATGGAAAAATAAAAAATGCTTTTAATACAATATTTGGAAAGGCCGCGACCTTAAAAATCTAAAAAAAGTTCGCCTACGGCCGTTTTTTATTTTTGTCGCCCACCCTTACTTGGACACCACGAGCCGCCACTGGCTGAGGGGACAATACCGCAGACTTTTTCGGTCTATAACCTTTGCTCTTTCGTTTCAAAAAGGCCTCCAATTCGTTGAATTTTTTAAAATCTTGTTTTTCGTGTATAGATAGCATGGATTTTAACATTGACCATTTAGTCCACAAGGAATTTGGACTAAAACTTTCTGACTGCAATAAATAAGGCGCAATTACTTACTAAACAAAACATAATGAACAATAGTTACCGTACCGTTTCTTGAAAATATGCCAAGAGAACAGTTTCGTCACTATTCTTTGCTGGGATACCTTTTTGTTCCAGCCAGTGAATATATTTTCTATATTCTTTATTATATATAGTCTCACTCTTGGCTGGGACCAACGTTTTTCTTGCTTGCTCGGCTTTTTTCATTATCTCGTCCATTATAATAAGCTTTTTGTTCACCAAAAACGCGTTTCAACGACAAAATGTGACCTTTATCAATTACTAGCTAATGACCCGCTGCGTTGCCAGCGTGTAAATACATTTTGAAATAATACACTTCTTTTCAAATTTTGTTGTTGATTTTCTATTTAATTTTTTTTTTTTAAATCAGAGTCGCTTGCCAGTGAGTTCAGTGACGCATTTTAAGTACTCCTGAGCTGCTCTAGAGCGCCCCGGGCTGTTTATAGGCATTCCAGTGTATCAAAGTTTTGCGCAACCAAACTTTTTTTTTCGGGATAAAAAATAGCCTATATCACTCTCCTCTATAGTCGATTCGATTGACCGGTTTAGATCGATCTGGTTCAATTTAAGTGAACCACACTGTGTTCGATTGAAGCTGGATCAGTGCACCCTCATCAACAAGAAAATGATCTAGATCAGAAGAAGTTCACTTAAACTGAACCCAAATCGATCTAATCTGGGTCAATCGAATTCAGCTTATATAGAGATACGTGGTAATAATTCAAGATTGGTCCAGCCGTTCTCGAATTCAAAAAATAATAAAGTTACGTCGGTTGAATGCAAGCCTAAATAAATGAAATATGGCAACGTTGTTTCATGCTGTCAAAAAAAGTTGGGTTATGTTGTCATGTAATGTGAATGAGTTTGTTTACAATTAAATTAATAATTAATTCAAAATTAATTTCTTTTTCCGAGATGCGAAACCTATCCACAAACCTTCCTTGGGATGGCCATAACAACCTACCAAAGTTTCATCGTAATCGGATAAGTGGTTTTGGAGCGCATATCCGGATACGCCGTGAACTTTGATTTTTATATATATATAGATAAATAACAAGCCATAGTTACAGTGCCTCTGGCATAGTAACAAACAATAGAACTTGTACCATAGACAAAGCTAGTACCTACTACTTGTCTATGACTTGTTTGTACCAGCAAGGCACATAGAAACGCACCTGAATGCTCATATAGGTAGTCAATGGTTAATTTCTTTATAAAAATGGACAAAATAGAATAAATTCAGTAGGATATAAAATTATCTATGTTCCACGGGATTTATCAGGTGTTAATACCCACGGGCACAAACTTTGCCCTGGGGTATTAACACCCTCATAATTCCCTTGATACATAATTAACTATAACACATTTTGGGCATGAACAATAAATGAAAACTTTTTAAAAAAATAATAGAGCAAAGTATGAAGTGGGTGTTTTTACCTAACCCTGGCGGGTAATTGCGCCCACTTACAAAATAATCATATTATCATTCTCAAAAAACGCAAATAAAATTTTCTGCAGTACTAGCACCTGCGCATTCAGCATGCGCCCACTCAGAATATTTAGTAGACCTATATCTCTTTGTCTTTTCCAAATTCGACGCACATCAGACATTCATCATTTTGCATCCCGCCAATATCGTCCAGTAGTCCAGTTCATCATCATCACAAAGATTTTCAATATTCTCTCCATCATCCTCTCATCAGAGGCTGTCAAAAACCTTTTTTTTTCTTTACTTTCTGTATGGATTCTTTCCTTTTCTTTCATTTCCAGCAGACTTTTTTATTGGTTTGTCGTTCCCCTCTTTCTTTTTTTTAGAAGCTTCTCTTGCCAGCTTCTTACATTCCCATTCCTTCTCCTCAAAATAATCCTTCAAAGATAGCCGTCATAATGATTGAATGTTATTTTCTTCTTCGCTTCAATCGCTGTCTTAGTTGTGCTTAATTTTGAGGGATTGGAAGTATCTCAGTTACAGAAACAGGACATGTCGATGCTGTTGGGCGTCTAGGAGATGGCACTCGATGTTTGGAAGTTGTTGCCTTAGGAGGAGATGGTGTTTGATGTCTGGATATTGTTGCCTTAGAGGATGTTGTTTGGATGTTGTTGCCTCAGGAGATGGTGTTTGATGTCTGGCTGTTGTTGCCTCAGGAGATGGTTTTCGATTTCTGGAAGTTGTTGCCTTAGGAGATGCTGTTTGATGTCTGGAGATTGTTGCTATAGTCAAGCCAGTCGTTTCATTTCCAGACGGTCTTGAACGCACTTGCAAGACATTTTTTGTTACAACAGGGACCTGCTCAGCAGCCAGCTCTGCTTCCTCATTGTTGGTCAGTGTGCGTTTGTTTTCTGGTATGCTGGAAACCTTTGACAGCTTTGTGGATAGTTGCTATCCGACCATATGCGGCATTAAACAAAGATGCTATGTCATAATCAGTAATCATTCTATAAGCACGTGTCCTTAAGTAAGAGTCACATTCCCTGTTGAATGCTGCTTGGAGGGGGCCGTAGAAAGCTGCATCAAGAGGTTGTTACCTATGCGATGTATATGGGGGAATAGTTACTACAATGGTATTATTATTTTTGCGAAAATTGTATGAAGCCAAAGATGCCTGGCTGCAATGATTGTCCATGATTAAGAGGACTGGATCTTCTAACGTTGGCTTTACGTAATCTGCAAAGTGTTTTAGCCATTTCACACAGTAATCCAGCCGGATTTTGGACTTTTCCAAATGAGCTGACATTTTCATCGTTGCAAATATGAGAATGGGAGGCACGTATATCCCAGACGCATTGAAACAGCAGCCTACAGTACACTTTCAGCACTTGTTGCTGAGCCAACCTGTTTTTTACCTTTTTTAGGATTTATTTTTCCTGGATTTTGTACGGTGCTAATGCCCGTCTCATCAAAATTAAATATTCGTTCTGGCCGGTTAAGGGGGTTTAGAGTAGTGGAGGCTCGTGGTCTATGCTGGAAAGGGTTTCAATTTTAGACCAGATGATGTATAGGTAACCTGGCGTAGCATAGCTCCAGGATATCGCGGTGCCACGCTCAAAGACGCGTTTATTTTTCTTAATAAAACTGGGGGAGGGGGGACCTTTTGGACATATTTTACTCTGTAACTTTCTTGTTATTTCGATTTTTGGCTCGAAAAAACTCAAGTTTACCGACGTTACCATTTTGTATGCGCAGTCAAAAAACCAGTTGCCTAGCATCCCTAGGGAATAAAGAAAAAAATAAGGAATAGGGTGACAAAGTAGCCCCGTGTTTGGGGCTACTTTGTCACCCCGTTAAAAATGCGTTTAAAATGCGTATAAATGGCTAGACTGAAAAAGTAACCCCAGATATGGACTCCTCGAATAAAAATTATATATAAGTGTATTTTTTTTTAAATTTTTAAATAAGATTTTACCCTTTTTTTTCAAAAATATATTTTATTGTACAAAATACTTCATCAGAGGGAAAAATAAGAATAACAAACTCGGAAAACCTTAGAAATGTTCTGCAACATTAACAAGAAAACTTGAATGATATTCTTTTTTGGCACATTGGTCAGTATAAATGGAAAGCCTCAATCTGCAATGACGCCAAGGGTTCTTGCAATGATGGCTTCTCCCTCCGAAATCAGGATGGTTGTATGACCTCTAGGTTTCGTATGCCTACCAAGGCATCTATTAGTAAGATTTCTCCGTGAAATTTAATGAACCCTGGACGCCTGTTTTTTGCTCATACCATCTTGCACCGCGCGCACTGCTTCGGCCACCGGTTCTTCAGTTAAGTTGTGGTAGGTACGGCTACCCGGTGTTTTTTCGTGGGTCTGCATTTTTTTTCAGTTAATTAGAATGTAAAAAAGAAACTAGACTTACCAAAACTAGCAAATAGAAACGTTTGAAAAGAAAAAAAAAATAGAAACTATGAGCGCGCACAAGGTGACAAAGTTTTACGGTAACCACCGTCCGCATGTATTTCTTATGAGTGTGTTTGTAAGTGTTGTAGCAATATTTTCCTATTGATTGGTGGATGTATGTGACTCACCAAGGCCAATATTTGCAAAATAAAAACTGCAAATATACTATGTTTGTGGCCTCAGGAAGTCGAAAAAAAAAACGCTTTCATGGTGGCACTTCAAGTGTAATTACTTATAATAGTATCTATAAATTACTTGTAATAGTATAAATTACCTTCGATCTTCTCAGGCGAAACGTCTTGCACTGAGCAGTATAATCCAACCCTTCTGCATCCGCAATTGCCCTACCAGTCCTACTGGAACTTGCAGGTAATGGTGATTTTGGTTTTATTTGCTCCAAATATGTTTCCTTTTAATAAAACCCAAGTTTAAAACACGTTTTCAACTTTTTTAGAGGAAAGTCAAGAAATGCCATTTTTCCGCCTACATTAATTCGGTAGGTAGGTACCTACCTATACCATAGTTATACTTGAAAAACGCTTAGATTTCGAGTTATAGTTAAAATCCTGAAAAAAGTGTCAAAAATGTAAGGTTTTTCGCAATATTCCTTGTAAATCCGTCGCCTGATCTCATCTCAGATTTGGATTCAGCACCCCAAAAAACATGGATCTTGAATCACTATACAACAATCAACACCACAACCAAAACAGAACAAGAAAAATCGGAAGTCAACAACAGGGAATTAGGGAAAATTACAAATATTGTATTTTTTCTGTGACGGGAAAAAAGTGGACTTTTTGTACCTGTTGACAGGGACAAAAATGTCACTTTTTCTCCCATGGGAAAAAAGCGATTTTTTTTCTCACGGGAAAAAAGTATTAGGTACTAGTCAATTTTTTTTTTCCGAGGGAAAAAAGTAACAGGTACTAGTCAAATTTTTTTCTCAAAGAGAATAATGTATGGATGGAAAATGTTGAGATTTTCCCGTCACAGAAAAAAATAGTGTATTATACATGGGAAAAATGTAAGATTTTAGCGCTCGCTGTGTTGTCTCCCTCCGCTTCGCGTCGAGAGACAAACCACACCTCGCGCTAAAATCTAGTACCTGCTTTTTTCCCTTGTATAATAAATAACTATTTTTTGACGTAGAAATGTTGTCATGTCAGACGTAACTGAAACTTCAACCAATCAAAAAACTTGCTTTTCCCACTATTTCGGAATGCAATTCGATCGAAAAATAGAATCGCCTATGCGGGTCTATTCTGTAACTCAAATCGAATCGACAATCGAAAACTTGATTCGATAACTGTGGAAATTTCTGTAATCGAGATCGAAATCTCCATCGACAGAGTCGGATGATAGAATCCCCCCTCTGATCAATAGCTAAAAGAATACATTAATTTTTTTGCCTTCTTCAAGATGTGCCACTGGCTATTATCATGGCAACATGTGGCCACATCATGGAAGATCACTGATCTAACCTGACTTATGAAAATATAAAAACAAATGGGGTGAAGCATAAAAAACAAGCTCACATCTCACCATGTGACCGAGTCGGTACAACACACAACTTACTCGAGAATTCTACGATGAGAAAATTAATGTTCTGAAAGTTTTTAGGATTACCACAAAAATGTTTCGGATATTACAGAGAGTTCTACGAAATCCTTTATAAATTCAAAGCAAAAAAAAATTAATTACTGTGGAGGAAAGAAGACGACAAGTCTAAATTCAAGCTTCCCAAGAAGCAGGAAATAAATTAAACAAACTTATCAAAAACAGAAAGGCTGAATGAGAAGCAGGCGCGGATCCAGGGAGGGGTCATGGGGGCATGCCCCCCCCTAGATAAGAAAAAATAATTTTAAAAATCAACATTAAATCGACCAATTTTTCCGGGTTTACCAGGGCCCGTATATAACAGAATTTTATTTCATGGCGTCATTTTATCACAGCCTATTCTATTTGTATGTACAGGGTGTCTGGTTATAATTTGATACCCCACCTGCAGCCTTTACCTTTAAGGTCTGGACACACATGACCGCACCGTATCCGCACCGAGCCCGCACCGAGTCCGTGCAGTAACACGGCAGTGTGTCGCTCAATAAGGTAAAAGCCACACATTTCCAACACACGGCCGCATGACGGTCGTACTACGAGTGCGGTCGGTAGTTTATTTGTGAGGAAATGTAAACAAAATATTTTATATGGAGTCTTATTTTGGTGGAGATATATATCCTTTTGAAAATAAAACCTCACTTTCAGATTCACCCTGTATAGTAGGTATAATCAATTTCAACCTATTTTAACAGGATTCTTAATTGAAAATAAAACATATGTATTTTGACTTACCCTTTATTTCTAAATGCGTAGCAATTAAAGTCCATACCCTTTCCTTATATTCAGCATTCCTATATTTTTCATTTCTTTGGTCGTACAATACAGGATACTTTTTGACTTCTTCTATCAGTTTCTCCATTTCTGCAACGCACCGTGCCCGTCAAAAATTAAACAAAACTAATCTCGCACGGTACGGACGCGGTGCGGTGGTGTCACTCGGGCTCGGCGCGGGCACGGTGCGTAGATGTGAAGACTACGACATAAGAAAACACGGTACAACTATTCACCGAGACACGGCCGTGTCTCGGTGCGGGCTCGGTGCGGACTCGGTGCGGTCATGTGTGCCCAGACCTTTACAGGTAGATGATAGGTGTGAACACAAAAGTTGTGCAGTTTTAACTAAATTTTCAGAATCCATCGTCAAAAACAAAATTTTATTGTAAGAAATTTCAACTTTTGCGTACTTTCAACTTTTTTAAATGAAATGCCCTATATTTGCTTATAATATATAGTTTGTCTATATTTGTATGAGCCGCCTTCAACATATTTGGCTCTAAAAATTGGAAAAATACTATCCTAGTGACGATTTTGTGAACCATTCTGATGAAAGCTTCAAGTAAAATTTGAGGCACTTGGTTTCTCTGATAGTATTTTTAAAATTTTTGAAGCCAAATATCAAATATGGTGGAGACTGCTCAACTGAATATAGAGAAACTATATATTTTTGGAATCGGAAAATTGTGCTCTTCAAGAATATAGAATCAAATATAGGGCATTCTATTTGAAAAACGTTGAAAGTACGCAAAATTTCAAATTTCTGACTATAATTTAGCTAAAACTGCTCCACTTTTGTGTTTACACCTATCATCTACCTATAAAGGTGGGGTGTCAAACTATAACCAGACACCCTGTACCTTCAAATATTTTGTATGCCCCCCCCCCCCCCCCCCTTTAATTTGGGT